TAGCCTGTTTTCGCTTACCCGCCCTGCTGTATGCAGCAAGTAAGGCGACCCGGCTGATGGCACCACGCGACGGCCGATGTGGCATGAGAATATTGTTAGTTGTGTAGGTCATGGTTGTACGAGGGCTGGGATACTGCCAGGGCGCCCACACCTAGACAGGAGGACGATTAGGGTCCTCAACCAAAGCCTTTGGCTCAAAAGCCTGACCGCAAGGCAGCGGGAAATGCAAATGCATTTCTACGGAACAAGTCGCCACATGTTCCAACCCCCAACCTGGAGGGCCAGGAGACTGTGTTCGTCAGACCTCTAACCATTGACCAACCTGGTATGAGAGACTGAGTGAGTGTCGCGGGATACTCTCCAGTATAGCTCAATGGATCGCTGAGGTGCGCAAACCGTCACACCAAGGTAAAGTCCAGTCTGTGACGGCTTGAGGTGCGCAAACCGTCACACCAAGGTAAAGTCCAGTCTCTTCGTGACGGCTTTTCCGTAAGACGTATTTCGATAAGGATAATCCACCGTCTAAAGTGGATATGCCGATCAGGTTTCCAGTCGATCGTCCTTTTATTTCCCAGAAACTCCTCCGCCTACACTAGTTCCCATTGAATAAGAAATTGTCTACCGGTGGTCTGAATAGCAACGTTTGAACACGATGTCAGTTTCCATGCAGTGAATAACTTTACGGGTTCCGTTCAGGTATTACATCCTAGTGCAGAGACATTAAACCTCAGATGACCAGGCAAAAAGAATAAAGCTGATTTTTGAAAAACGAATCCATTATCCACCTAAGAATCTGTTCGGAGCTTCTTAACAAAAAGATTCCGTAACACACCTTTTTCACTTCCCTGCTTAACAACACGAACTGACAGCTTGAGTTCAGATCCAGGCATGAGATAGGCCAAAGCGGGACTGAGCTGGGCGTTGGCCATAACCAGAAGACGAACATGGGCGGCCGGTACACTCGAATAAACTGACTCCCACAAAGAAACATCAACAACGGCCGAACCCGTGCGCAGGCCACTGACTAATTGCATATGACCCTAGGAAAAGGTAAAAGAAGTGAGCAAGTAATTACCTGCATTCCCCGACTTTCGAGCACCGCTATTGAGGGTGGTGTGGCATACTCCGATTCGGTCCACGTCAAAAAACGAAGAACGGTATGTCCATCAGCAGCACCGCTATAGGTATCTCCATGGATGCGCCATTCAAATGGAACACCGTGCAGCGTGGAAAATGTATTTCCGTATTCATCGTAGGCTACTACGGTCAGCGACTCAGGTGTATTATGCAAATATAACTCCTGGGTGGTTGTTTCTATTTCTATGTGATGAATGTCATCAACAATGACATCACATTTAACAACATGACCTGTTGCTGAGGCAGTTCGACAAGGGGTAAAGACTGAAATTACTTGAGACACGGGCATAAATAGTGGTAACTGCACGATGCGGAGAGTTCCAAATAACGGTAACAATAGCCTCAGAGCTACATACTGAGTTGTCTTTCGATAGCGGAGTGACAGTAGCGACTTCTGGCGTTCCAGACCGCCTAGAGCAAATGACCCCATGGAAACTCAAATTACCATTCGTAGCAAGCACCAGCAGAACCACGAAGAGTGTAATTAATAGGGGCAAAACTATGGTATGGCAACAACAATTTCGAATCACTCAAACGGAAATCCGCATTCACAGAAGTGACAACGAACGATCCTAGCACGACAAGGAAAAACCACATGAGGAATTTCGAACACAGAGGTCCTACAATGGTTGATTAAAACAAACTGACACCTCTCAGTACTCCAGGGTTCCCTGTTGATCCGGCAAAGCGAAAACTTCTCTATGGTTACTCCAACACAAATGGCATCTATTACTCCCATAAAATTATGGTCCATTTGTTCGATTATATGTTTACAACCGGATGGACGAGTTTTCCCTAGCATCCGGGTAGGGTTACTAATTGGTTATCATCTGTTTTGGTGAAGGCGACTTTAGCACCGCTTGTATCGCACCCCATATTTGGACGGTGGTAGTGTCAACTCGATTATCCACATCAAAAGCACTGAAAATTTATTCGGGCTGAAGGCAAGATGCGCTGTGAACAGCAGTAAAAGCGGCTGGGTTATTCCGCGAAAATATAGTGATCCTTCTGACCATTGTACCTTGGTACTTTCTTTGTAACTTATCATTACTCAAATTGTACCACTTTCTATCTCTCACTAAAATCTCAGCTTATTCCTCTTCTCTTCATACCGAATAACTTTTGTTTAAAATGACCGAAAAAGAAATATGGATACAATACAAATTCTGTACCTCGTGAATGGCGTGTTCCCTTCTTGCTGGTTCGAATTACGCTGGCAGCGAATTAACGAAATGGGATCTACCTTTCAGACTACGACGGGATAGAAAGTATCTAGGAATATATCAAGGAAGATTCCAGGAAGGAGATCGCTTTGGATTTATTGTGGTGGTAATAACTAACTGTACCGACGAACTGTGAGTTGTATCATCTCGTCTATTTTTTCTCACTTGATTTCACTACTTTGAACTGGTATTTGCTCACGTTATTCACTACATACCTATCCGCTGAAATCTGAAGAACTGGAGTCTGGTTAAGGCGTGTGATATACCGTGGTCCCCCGCGTGGTGGTAGGTTTTGCGGCAAATCTAACCGATCAAAATTTGCTAACACAGGATGATAGATAGCAGGTTGTAGCGACCCAGTAACCCACATACTTGACTGTTCAACTCAGTCGCTCACTGAGTCACGAGGCTTGTCTTTTTTCTCATACGCACAAACACGTCGCATTAAGCTGACTCATCGGACATCGATTGTCTGCACCGCCTAGTCAGCGTAGCAACTACTCGTGTGCCGACGCACTCACGTATGCGCACTGGGACCTACATAAACGGAAACCGAACCCAGTCAGGACACAGACTCGCGCGCGCGCAGGGAGCAAGGAGTCAGCCAAGCGCCCCAAGTCCACGGACAATCATGGAACACGTGTAGCAGCCATACCGCAAAGAAAACACGTTCCCACCGTCTGGAGTTTTACCAAGGAAGTCTCACATACGATAAGTTCCTTTTTGACTTGCTCCCATTTCGCATTGTATTTAGTTTATACGCGTTGCAACCCTCCACTGTCCACTATATTAAAATCTTATATTAGTGCACATACACCTTCTGATTTGTATTATGGCTATCACCACCTGTGCTCTAATAAGTCCGCCTTGTGAACGAAGGGGGTGGGAGGGAACGAACGCTAAAATTCCCTGGTCTGTTTTGAAGTTGAACATCTTGATATGGGAGTTCATGGGACACTCAATGAATTTCACATCGTACTGGCGTCGTAGAAGATTACGTGTTTCATGCACACGAGAAGCAGCTTTGAAACGAGCCGCGTATCAATTTTCCTAAAAGCTATTCCATGCTCTGGAAGCAGAACAAAGCTCCGTGCTGAGTGCCCTTAACTTCTTGTAAAATCATTTCCAGTTCGGAGTAATATGACACGTAGGTCTCCGGTGAAAGCCGTTGAAAAGTCTGAAAACTAGGAATTCAATACTCGTCTACCTTCTTTCGCTCGTCTTCATTTATGAGCGATGTCAAATCTCTCAAACAGGAACTGATTGGATGGTACCTGTGTCATGCAGGGGATGCCAGCTTGTTGGTAATGAAGTTTTTAGGAGTGGCCAACTTAAGAATATATTCCAACATCTTAGGCGGAATTCCCTATAGGCCTTCGGCTTCTGGAAGTCCTACAGTCGCGGTTCCGTTGCTTAACATAGCAGACGCTTCTCTATGAGCCGAAAGTGACTGAAGAAATATCACACTGGATTGTTTGACCAAGCTAAGCCCCCTCCTCGAGATCCTTGTATAAATTTCACTTAGCCCCAACTGGCTGAAGAGGCTTGTCAAGCGCAAGCGGTCGTCACCACCCTTCTCAATAGACGGAGGCCATTCCAGAGCTGTTAGTGGTCTCATTTAGTCAAGATTGTGTGCGATATGGTGGCTGAGGCAGAATACGATTTTGCATAGCATTCCTTTTTATCTTTAGGTACTATTTTTTTGTTGCTCACGAGCTGTCCATCTCCGCCCCTCAAGAAAAAGTTACTCGTGTGGTTTCTTTAGCGCCATTCATTCCCTTTAAAGCACGCGTTTTGATTTCATTTCGTAATGTTGTAAGGCGACCGCTGGCTTACTATGTTATGTCAGCTGGCATTCTCAGTCTCCTATACTTTTCTTTTCTGAGGATAAATTGGGCCATTTTTGGAGGCTACCTTTCTGAAAACCCAAGTTCTCCTAGACAGTTCGTAGATCTTTTGAAAGCGTGTTCGTACATTTGATATGTATACCGCATCAGCTTCATCAATTTTCCGTAAATATCCTACTGAACTTGGCTTCAGCTGAAGCTGTTCGAAGAAAACAGGCTTTCTGGAAAATCCGTCCAAATTTCAGATGAATTTTTGAGATGGCAGATTTCTTAGCCAGCGGCATATGACTACAAATACCAGGTTACATTGTGCGCCAAGTCCTAGGGGAGCCCTATTTTTCACCTGAGCGACGGAGTGTCGTTCCCTTATGATAACTAGATCCAGTATGGATGACAGTTGGCCTAGTTGATATTTGATAGAGATGTTGACACGCGCAGAACTAGTGCGATACTGCACAAGTGTAGTCAGCGTCAAAGCAAAATGTTATTAAGACCCGACGTGTTCTGGCTCCGTTCGGATGACTTGAAGATTTTGAAGTCGCCTACCAGTAAGGGATGCGTAAGGTAAAAGCTGGTGGATAGATGTCCGAAGGCCCGTAAGAATAACGGCCCACTGTCCGGTGCGCTTGAGCCGTAAGTTTAAAGGGTGCAGATCAGAAGACATACGGCCCCGTACATGTGGATCGGAATCCGTCGTACATCGCAAACAGTACAGAGAGGGACATAGAGCTCAAATTGAGCAGGCGACGTTGTTACTGAGCGTCGCACAGGCGCTTTTGCGCCGGCAAAGGTCATATTACCGGAGACGCCCGGTATAAGCAAGGTCTCTGTAAATGGGATAATGAAACGTTGTGCAAAGTAGGTAAGCTTTCGAATACCTGGAAAATCTTTGGAGAGACTACGGCTGTATCCCGTGGAGAGTCGCAGGGAGACTCCCAGCAAAACTTATATTGGGGTTGGTATCTAAATATTGGTTTTGGTCCCTCGACTATCCACGTTTTTCTCATTGTGGTGTTCCTCATCCCTCAACAGCCCATTTACCGTCGATTTTTCTTTTGAGGGGCGATCTTATGTTACTTTGCCATAATACCGATGGCTGCTGCCGGCAAACATCAGGGTCTCAGATCCGCCATGACTGAACAAGTTGTGGTTTTCTATCGCACTTTTTTATTTTCTTCGGCTTTCTTGAGCGGTTTGACCCTCAAGTTATGTTTTCGGAGTCCCAGAATCTGCCTAGGAGTTGTATCAGGCTAACAGGAGGCCTAAGATGTTTGCTTCCTTGGATGACTGCATTCGGAATATGGCAGCAGCCATCGACTTGGTGAATATCATGTGGACTGTTCAACAACCGTTGGTTCTGTTCTAAGCATTCGGTAACTAATAGGTCACCCATGAATTGCTGAGGTTCACATACGGTCTCATTTATGGCCTTGGCCATCGGTTCTCTACTGTTGGCTTTTGACGGCGTTGAGCACGGGGCTGTCTGTTCCACAATTTCAGACGGATGATCCTATGTAACTTTCTTTATCGCTGAAGAACGTCTGTGGCTGACTGGTCGGCTGATTTGTTCGCATGTTTCTGAATGGCTCAAACCGTCCGTCTTGAGGCTACGAATGAGGGTAAGGACACTCAAAGCAGAAGTATTGGGCCTGAGTGCGGGTTTCAGTATCAACATGACGTGGCGGAGAATAGTGGAAATCCGTCAGCCCTCGTGAGTCGGAATCGAGGTCCACCAGAATGGAGCACTTGAGTGGCCCCGGGGCACAGGTGGCGGGTAAGTCAACGGATATCCAAATATTCCTAACAGCTTATATGTAAAAGTGATTGCGGTAGCGCCAATTCTAACAGATAATATTGGCACGTTGGAATTTCCGACTTATTGCGGTAGCATACATAGTATATAGACAATGTTGACTCTGTTCTTAGGGGCATATAGACGTGGATAACAAACGGCTTGGAAACAAAAATACAAACTCCAAAAGATGAAAGCCAACCTGTTCTTCCTGCTTGGCAATAACTCAGAGAACATTTCGTCATCAAGCTCAAAAGCGTTGCTATGCCCATCCGAATTTGTGGTTTCTCCAGCTTTGCTTGACTATAAATGAATTGCAGGGAGAAGTTGATAACACCGGTACCGTAGTCCATCATCCGGAAAAAGTCTGCCACTGAATTTGACTGATCTTTTGGACAGTGCATCACTTTGTGTTCCAGATACCTCGAATCTGATCGACAGCTCCCTTTCGGTTGAACTGTAAATAAAAGTTTTTATTCCCCAACTTTTAGAGGGCATACAGATTGAGGCGTGATCCTGCCGATACAACCTGAACATGGCGGGCAAAACTTGACGGGAGAAGGCAAAAAGACGGATACATGATTATCGTAGGTTGCAGAAAACAAAACTAAAAGAACCAAGCATAAGTTGCGGTAAGCTTTTTAGTGAAGCTGGTCAGCCTGAACTAAAAAAGGGAGCTGTTGTTGACCATGAGTGATGAGTCACCAACACGGTGTAGAGAAGCTCAAGAACCAA